GGAGGCGCTGTCAAGCATCTCAAAAGATGAATTTAGACAATGTTTTGAAAAATGGAATAAAAGACTAGACAAGTGTATTAGTGCAAGTGGAGAGTACTTTGAAGGGGATTGAAGGTTTGTGCTTAAAATTTGAATAAATAAGTTAAAAAAAAATAAGTTCGGTTTCTTTTGGGTACCCCCTCGTATATAAATATATTTCAAAAGCATTTTATCTACGCAGTATAAACACTTACTTTAAATGACTGAGTTCCACGTTCATCCTTCTTTTCAGTCATAAACAGCAAGAATGCTGAAAGTGGTCTCTTTGGCTTTCCCAGTTCTTTCTTTTTCTGTACACAAGAATATTCTGTTACATGTTTAAAATAAAATAATATTAAAATATACTGAATAAGAGAGGCTTGTGTAAATCATGTTTAAGCTATTAAAATAATTAATTAATTAAAATTAAGAAGCACAGGTGTTCTTTATAAGTTTCTGATCGAGAGAAAATCTTAGAAAATGTGCACAGCATACCACAGACAGACTGTTCTCACAGTGGTAACAACGAAAAGTAATATGTTCTGGACTGTAAGATCATGTACTTCAGTAGAAGATTACTGACATTTTGTAACAACATACTGGTTAAATCTTCAGGGTCAAAGGGCCAGCTTAGCAACTTGACAGCAAGAAGCAGGCAGAGGCAGTAATGTTAGTCCAAAAGCTGGTGAGCTTTTGCTGAACCACGCAGAATTAGATCCCAGAAGATGGTACAGATTATTCCATAATTTTTAGAATTATATCTGTAGACTCAACCAACCAAATGATTAGCAAAATTCCCTATTTTAAAGTGTTGTGAATGTTATTTTCAGACCCTTCTCATCATGAGGCTGAAAATGCACGGTCCCACTAAATCACCATTCACAGACACTTATTATATATAATTTTGCACTGCACCACTTTATATTCTAGGTATATCATAAATGAAGAAAGAATATGAAGAGCTCATTTCAGTATACCAAAAATTCCACATTTCCTAATACTTGGACACTTCATATTTATATACGGTGTGTGTTTGGTCCTCCAAAAGTATACAGAAATTACCTTCTTTAACAGTCTTCTTTCTTTTAATTCTGCTATTTCAATTTTTGCCTTCTTTATTTCCTCATGCTGCTCATCGGTTAATTTCTGGTTATACTTGACTTGTGCTGCCATATAATCAACCATTTCTCGTTTATATTCCGCTTGTAACTGTTCCCGCACTGAACTGTCTGCCTTTCCCCATTCTGTTCCAGCCAGCTTTGCAATATCTGTAAGGGCAAAAGGTAAAGTTATCCCTGTATTTAATTATGTTATTAAGCACTGTGTCATAAAGACACATGGTGAGTGAAAGTATAGCTCCACCATTCTTGAACTCAGCATTAGATAGTGGTGAGTGGTAAGCTTCACATCCTGTTCATTTTATGCCCAGGGAAAGAGTCCCGGACACCCACTAAATAGGAGGTTGAGTAGACCCCAGAGCTGGTCTGGACACTGTGGAGAATAGAAAAATCTCTTGCCTCTACCAGGAGTCAAACCCCATCCATCCAACCTATAACCCATCACTATACTGACCAAGCTATCGAAGTTCCTTCACAATATCTGTACACCATCCAAAACAGTTCTAACAATATCAACTAGATACTAGACATTTTCATTTTTGTAACTGTGGAAAAAGTCATACCTGTTAATTTTGCTTGAGGATTCTTCTGAACTATGGCTGGTCGGATCTGGGCCATAAAACGGAAATACGGTGTAAGGGGCTTCTTAGGTTTTGGTGGCAACCCTAGTTTCTCTTCAACTGATTTCTTGAGCCCTGCATTTTGTTGGTATAACGACGAAGTGTGCCTAAGAATGTAAGTTGTATTTGGCAGTTATATCAGTTGCATAATCACAATCAATGATAATCATACAGCAGTGGTTATGAAGCTTTATCTTCTGGGACACAACACCGTGTGGTACGGTGAAAGTTACCACACGTTTCGGAGGAACTTGTCGCCTCTGTCTTCTGGGTCGAAGAGGAAGGCAAGCAAGAAACCAGCTCCGCTTGCTTCCTACTTCATCTCGGTTTCTTGCTTTGCTCACACTTCAGCTCTGAAGATGGAGACAACATATTCCTGCCAAACGTTGGCTTTCACAGGACTACATGGCGTTCTATCCCAGAAACTAGAACCCTAAATAGGTTATGTTTAATTCTACACAAAACTAAAACACTTCACTATCGTGTGTATATAAATATTCACATTAAACTGTATTAACACAATTTGTAACTTAATAATTTACCTATTCAATAAAATGTTACGATATTGACCAACAACGTTACATATTCTAAACATCTTCCCATGCACCGCCATACTCCAAATACTGGACGCTTTCATTTGTGGTCTCTATTTGTCGGTGTAGGTAATTTATGGTCTTTGGTCGGTAATTTCTTCCACATTTCTCTCTGAAGGAGAATATTTCAGAGGTGTGGGAGTTACATTTTTATATTATTGTAACAAAGGACAATTTAGATTTGAACTACTAGTAATTTGTGACGGGTCAGGTTAATTAGCCTGCGATTACCACTGCTCGATTGAAAATGAATGATAGTCATCACTTAAAAGACAAACTTTCCGAAAAGTTTCAGGTTAGCAAAGTTTGTTAGGAACATTTCTTCCACATGATTGGGTCATGCAATCCTGTTTTAAGCCCAAAGTCCTTTCGTCTTGACCTGGGATGAACTATTTCAGGTCATCTTACAGGGATATACATTATCGTCGTCGTCGTCGTTATTGTTGTTACAGGATAAGGATGAGACTGAGTCTTTCCTTACATTCCGTACTGCAGACCGCTGCAGACGCAGTACAAATTTTCACATCCTTATATATTGTATGATCTATGGAAAAAAAGATATATGACTAAATGAGCAGATGTACCAACCCCCGGTGATAAAACTGAAATACCTGAAGAAATAGCAGCACTAGTGGCACAATGATCTATAGAGACGAAATAAATAAATTGACTAGCACAAGTGCTACATAGATTGCCCTGGGACTGAACCTGATATGAAGCATGCAACTAATAACACGAGCTGTGACACAGCCTTATGAGGATATAAGAGGATGCAGTAAAAGACTTAATTCACAGGGATTCCACTGCTGCCTGCTTCAAGCTGGTCTCTTGCTTGACTTACTCTTCAGTCCTGAAGTTGATTTTCAACAGATTAAACAGCATGTCCAAGAAGGCAGAACTCAATAGCATTTAAATTATCTTGTTTCCATTGCCTTTCGTTGTTACTGGGTGTACCTCAAGAGTCAATCCTGGGCCACTGCTTTGAAACAGTTTTATTAATGAAGAAAACCTCAAATCTTACACTTTTATTAACAATCTATGTTATGTAATGTCAAAAGTCTCTGCTAATGACCTTAAAGCTTGTTGGGCCAAAAGTTCACCTAGTTGACTGTTAATTTTTCCAATCAGACATTGTGTGCATCCTTCATGCTCTACTAATTCTTTGAAGCAAAATTATTTTGTTCCCTAAGAAAATATAGATACTAAACTACCAATATATTGTTGGAAATTTACCAATATCACAGTGATTGTATTAAGGACCTGGTTGTGCATATTCTCTAAACTTTCGCTTTCATAGGAAAGTCAATTTTCTTTTCTCATGATAAAATTAATTGGGTTAAGTTCACACTATCACATTTTTCCCACCACAGTGTACTGATGCTGTTTTTTTTTGCTTTGGTCTGATCTAAATTTAATTATGCCTCTTTTGAATGAAACCCCCATCAACCTTGAGCACATACAAAGAAAATTTGCAGGCATTTACCACAGATTTTTCAAAACAGTACTCTCAATTTGGTAACTTATCAGAAAAATTCAGGTTACAAACTCTGCTGGCATAGCAGGCACTATCACTACAATCCATCATTTGTAATAAATAATTATAACAGCATTAAATGTTGCTTCTCAGGTCTTGGAACAGTAGGCATTAATGTTAGAACTCAGAGCATGAGTAGCTTTCCTATGTTCAGTCACTCCTTCAGCTAAATACATTCATGCTACTAAAAGATTCTAAATAGACAGCAATGTTTTAGACACCTATACTTATATAGCCAGAAACAGTTTAGCTTTTTACTTTGTTCTGTCAAACAGCAAAGAAAAAGGGGCTGGGGGTGTGCAGTGCGCGCACATACAAACTAAAACTGGACCATACCTTTCCGCTATTTACTTATTACACCAACTCAAAGGCTGTATCGAAGTATATGGTATGCTCACCATTATTTCTTGGTGAAATACTACAAGGTGGTTCAAATATGACCGGGACTGATTTGTGTGTAAACTAGCTGCACTGTGCAGCAGCTGTGCGACCTTGAGAGAGTGAAGCCACAACCTCCACCCTCCCTCATGTTCGGGTTAGAACCTGTTCAGTCCTATCTGGGAGTTTCTAGAGTGATGAGTGAACAGAAGCTACCGCAGAGCTTGGAGCAACGCATTGTGATCAAATCCCTCATTGGAGAAAACGTCCCGGCCACTGAAATTCACCAGACTCCAACAGTATGGGGAAGTGTGTCGCTCACAGACCCATGTGTTTGAGTGGTGTAAGTCCTTCAGAGAGGGCAGAGAGCATGTGGAGAATGAATCATATGATTGTCAGATGCGAGCATCCGTCAATGAGCTAAACACTGATCGTGCAGAAGTGCTTATTCATGAGAATAGGGGCATCACTATCAAGAAACTTTGAGCAATGCTGTCAATCAGTGTTCGTATTGTACAAGACATCATGAAATACCACCTGTACTATTGCAAGGTGAATGCACAGTGGGTACCACAAACTTAGACGGACGTGAACAAAATGGTGTGCATGCAAGCTGCCAGTCGTCCCAGTTTGAAGATGAAGGTGATGCATTTTTGATGACTATAGTGACCACCAATTAAACGTGGATGCACTACTTCGTCAACCCCCTAGTGGCGGCATACCAGTTCTCCCAAACCCAAGAGCACGCAGAGGAGCTGTTTGGCAGATGCCAGAACAGTCGATGCAGCTTATTATTCAGACCTCCTGGAAACTGACATAGGGGAAAAGTTCCAATCCAAGCTGAAGACAGGTGGAAAGCGGGAAGCCACCTTCAAGACATTGCACATCCCCATACGGCCTAAACAATGCAAACCCTCTGGAAATTCAAATGGAAACAGTCCTGGTCATATTTGAACCACCTTGTATGTAAGGAAGGAAAGGTCTAGGTTTCATACTTGGCATCAATACAAGGTAGACAAATTTACAAACGCTACAGGCATAAATGAGAAATAAATTATTAACGCATGTCATTCTGCACATCAATTTTATTGTACTGCACACAGTAGTGTTAATGTTATTCTCAGTGCCTTGGGCCATGTTTGTTCTTTTCAATTTAAAATTATAGTCTCTGGATGATACAGACTAGCATGTTCATCAGCTACAATAAATAATGGTATAGTAAGACACTGAATCATGCTGGGAACAGAAAACTTCTGCTAAACAACCTGGGAGGCAGATGTCCTGCCTGCTACTAATGCAATATTTAATCCTTTGTCTGTATATACTTAATGAGGTCAATGACCCTAGAAGAATAGCCATACTCATTATCATACCTGTAACACAAAAGAAATACACACATTAAAAAGAGCAACAAATTTCTTACTTCACAACACTCAATGCACTTGCTAATTAATTCTTCCTTCAACGTTATTTTCTTCATATTAAGAAACAGTACATCTTCAAGTCTGTTCTTCATTCCTCTTTGATCAACTATCTTACAGGTTACTCCTTATTAATACTCCCCCAATATTTTCTACATTAAATTCTTTTGATTTGGGGGCACGTGGTAGCGTAGCTGGTTGATGCACTATGCTACAACCTGGAAGGTCATGGGTTTGATTCCTAATGTCAATGAATTTTGCAATTGATCTCATCCTTCCAGCTGCACTATGGCCCTGGGGTCAACTCAGTCTCAACCCCATGGGTCTCCATGGCCTATTACACGGACAATTTTACCTTTTTTTTTCTTCATATTCAATGACAAAACAAAACAAACTCCTCAGCTTTGGTCAGCAAGCGAACTGTACCGACCGACCGCTGCTTGTCGGCGAAGTTAGTGCCAACTTCAGCGGATAGAGGGTGTCGCGTGGTCAGCGTAACGGATCCCCACGGCCATTAATTTCGGTTGTCTAGACCAGATGATATTCAATGACAGCTACAATATTTCTAGAAATACGAGAAACTTTAGCCAACATTACTACTTACCAAATTCTGCAATTTTTTAATAATATTAAATAAATGCAATGATTCTTTTGCAGAATTCTGCATGATATGAACAAACTTATCATACGATGTAAGTCAATGACTGAGGTTACATACAGAAAGTTTGATGAAGTTTCTCAATTTAAAATATCTGACTAATTTCTATTCTGAAAATGAAAACATCAAGCACAAGTGTTCACTATAAGAACTTCCCTGAAACAATTCCATTCACAGTGACACCACTCTATGCATCTTATACAAACACATTTTACTCACCATGAAATGAGTTTGACAAAGTTGTTGTTGAGAGGAATTCCAGCCTTTGCATCAAAGATGGAGGAATGGGTATCACCAATAAAGTCTGATGACACAACGTCATCTTCGGTGTAGTCCAGGATTCCTTTCAATGGTCCTGCTGCTGCCTCCTTAACTTTGGCCTTGATTTCATCATACGTTGCTGCCTTGCCCAGCCTAGATTAAAAAAAACTGCATTAATGCCATCTCCCAAACAATGATTAAAGGAAAACTAAAATCACTTAATTTTCCTCATTTAAAACCCACTGCATTTTTGGTTATAAATATTATCAACTGGTTTTTAGGAAGCAAAATATAGTTACAGCAAAAGTTATTATGAGAAAAGGTACCAAGACATTCAAACAATAGATAACGTATCATCTTTTATAACGCTAGCAGGCTTTACTCAAAATGAAAATGAATGAATTTTTGTGATAAAGTTCAGCCAGAAAATAAATTCATATATGACAAGGTTTATCTTTTAAAGATAATGGTATAGTCAGTGCCTCGTAACTTTAGCCACGTGGAAACGTAAACGCTGTTGTGGAGCGCGCGAAGACGTAAGCTTGCTATGGTGACGTTCAGAGCTACTCCCTAAGCAGAAAACATTGCCTATGGAGACCAGGAGTAGATGCACAATGCACTATACACCTGACCACACTCCAAAACGCTACATTCCAAACTGGTAGTACCCACATTGATGTAAGCTCACAAGACAAGTTCCGAGGACCTAACAGTAGTGGTGACGGTATATTGTAACAATGTTCAAAACGACATAAGAATTATGAATCCATTCCATCAATCCAGCATGAATCAGTTCCTGATACCAGAAGACAATCTCGCTAACAGCTCTAAAATGAAATATCTATTAGCTTACTGATGTTAATTCCACAAGTGAAAGACCAATCATAATAAAACTTCTGGAAAAACATGAAATTACATTACCTTACTGTCAGATCTACAACAGAAACATTGGGAACTGGGACACGGAACGCCATGCCAGTCAGCTTTCCGTTGAGAGAAGGAATGACTTTGCCTACAGCCTTGGCTGCACCAGTTGAAGCTGGGATGATGTTCTGGTTTGCACCGCGGCCATCACGCCATAGCTAAAAGCACAAACACAATTGCAGGCAATGATGGAAATTACTCCTGACAATCTGACTGCTTATCTGAAATTCAAAACTGATCTCATAACAACAGTTATGATGAATCACCAGTATTATTCAACATTATTAAATGACGTATTTTGTCCCCAATATGTAGACGCTAACAGTATGAAAGCTTATATAACAAGTCATGAGACTTCCTGTCACATTCTCGAAGTGTTATATTAGTATAATGCGAATTACCTTTCCTGAAGGACCATCTACAGTCTTCTGTGTTGCAGTGACTGCATGAACTGTAGTCATAAGTCCTTCAACGATTTCAAAGTTGTCATTGATGACTTTGGCAAGGGGTGCCAAGCAGTTTGTTGTGCAAGAAGCATTGGAGATAACTTTCAGTGATGGGTCATATGATTCAAGGTTCACACCAACAACAAACATGGGGGCATCTGCGCTGGGGGCAGAAATAATTACTTTCTTTGCACCACCTTCCAAATGTGCCTGCAACAAATAAATTGTATGTCATGACGGATCTTTTTCAAAACTTCCATAACTAACCGAAAGAAAACATTTACACTTACAGAAGCCTTTTCAATAGTTGTGAACACGCCAGTAGATTCTACAACATACTCGGCACCAGCCTTGCCCCATGGAATGGTCTTGGGGTCTCTCTCCGAAAAAACAGAAATCTTCTGACCTAAATGGAGAGAATACAGTTTATTCCTTGAACATAAAATATGCAAAACAACTTCACAATATGGTGAACCTCATTACAATGCAATATTTTCTTTTAGGGGTGAATAAGTAGGAATGAATGTGAAAACTGCATACTATATTTTGAATCAAGAAGAAACATCTGGTAAACCATGTACAGATTGGAACACAACAAGAAAACGATTCTCTGAGAAGAATGACACAAGGATGTGGATTAAATTCAAATCTCCTAGCACAAAGCTCAATATCAGGTTTTATAAACACGGTAATAAACCTTCAGGTTCATTTCTTGCTCAGCAGATCCACATTTTCACCTGCATCACAGAATTATCTGAAACCTCCTATCATCAAAGATGTTTCCAATTTCATTCATGGATCATATGCGTCCAACACCAAAACCAGCTGTCAATGACAATTGGCAAGGGATTCTAAATAATAACTACTGGCTTGCTTTACAACTCTGATATGATGAGTAATGGTTCAGACAGACAATTGCATAACTTTTTCCTTAGTACAAAGAAAAACATGCGGATTACAGTACAGAATCCACTAAGCTAGGCTAACTAGGAGGAAACACTAAATGTCTGACCAAAAAAGAACCCTGAAGGGGCCTCACAGAATCACCAACATTTTAAGAAATACAAGCAAAAAGGATATGGAAACATAATTTCTATAGATTACCAATATGAAAGAAAAAAAACTTCATCAGTTGTATCTTATATTTTCTAGCACTCACCATTCACAACCAACTTATCCCCTTCAGCCTTAACTTCACCCTTGAAGCGACCGTGAGTGGAATCATACTTGAACATGTAAACCATGTAGTCCAATCCAATGAATGGATCATTGATGGCAACAACCTGAAGAAAGTAAATGACATCTGTAACACAATTCTGCCTACTTCCAGAACTGTTAAACAATAAAAATCTGGGTATTTACTTACTTGACCTCCCTTTTCAAGGGCTGCCCTCAAAACAAGGCGACCAATACGGCCAAATCCGTTGATTCCAATTTTAGACATGATGTATTAAATGCCACCTGGAAAAGTACTGTCATGTATTAGTCATCAGACACCAGGTTGGGACTGGTAACTGGTATTACACAACACTTGCAACTCGTAATTACAAGGAATTACAACAGTTCACTAAGTTATGGACTCCAAAGATCACTGTAACTACAGTATACAAAGTCTCAGTAGTTGTTACTAGCAAGCAGCTCCTCTGCTTCTGCACTCACACCCTTGCTGGCTTGAGGCCCACGACCAGAGTTTTTTTTTTTTTTTCCAACTNGGGGGACTGAACCCTAGCAGTCAGTCCTTATGTAATATCTCTGGCGACAGGGTGGGTTTCTCTCACAAATACGCTTCGCCCTTGTCAAGTGTACATATCACACACATAGTATACATTTACGTCATTATGCGGAATACCTATTCTTCCGGGGAAGCGGTGACTTCCTCTCAGCGTTATATGGCTTCAGGGTCAACCGCATACAAAATACCGCTTCCAACTACTACTCTATTGTTGCGTCTGTGTCCGTTGTTAACAGTTACATGGTTCGATCGCCGTGCGAATGTGTTTGCACAAGCACTACCTACCAACGGACTTCTCTTCTGGCTTAGGGCCGTCATAACACAGTATTAACCTATGTATCACTTAACGTTAAAATTTTCACTGTGAAATTTATATATGTGCAGCTCGCCAATTTTATTCAATTGTAATATTCCTACCATGCGGCCGTGCAAATCATGTCACTGGTTCAAGTAAAATTATACCGAAAATATAAGTCGTACATTTTTCCAACAGTTCTTCGACTGGCAAATACTGGCCATGGTATTTAATTTCAACCATGATTTTTTGCAATACATGTTACGCAGACGAAGCACATTATTTGCAGTGCAATGGGCAGAGGGCATTTTAAGGTCAAACTGTTTCAGTTTCAAATTCGGTCCGCTCGGTTTATAACTCTGGTAATGGCAACGTGAATATTTTCAAACAACGGTATACAGTTTCCATGAGCCCTTATTTTTACGCTGATTACATACATGATTAATGCAGTAAATGTATTTATTACAGACCGGTCACACCAGATCCGCAAAACAAAACATACTGTACTTCAAAACACAGACACATCTGACACACATACATATATTCATATTTCTTGTACAATAATATTTTATATTTATCGTACAATATTTAATACTCACACAGAATGAAATAAAGCCGTTGAACTCTCCAACCTACACACACTGCTACTCCCTCTGATCCTCTCGTTGATCAAGGGCAAAAGGAGGTCTGCGTCATTATAAAACAAGGCCCCACCAATCACGTGATGCCCCCACCCGTGTTACTATCGATGTGCTCCCTGACACGCGTCACATAACATGTGATCCACACGGCGGGCATGATGAAATCAAGGTGTTGGTTGACGCAAAATTTCTTATTTCCATATGATTTCACGATATTCTGTGTAGTCCATATACCTTTGCAACTTTCTTGTTGAGAATATTATATTTAAGCATCCTGTTACACTCACACAATATATATGAGACAAACTCCGTCTTAAGTGCAACAATTTAATTGTAGTTCTTTCTTCTTCCCTTCCTCCACACTACGTGTTTCGGCCCTAAATGGCCATCATCAGGTGTGTATTCTTACGTAGCTGCTACACTGCCCGTAGTTTAAAATTTAAAATCACCAGTCTTTCCAATTGTATGTATGTATAAAATCTTTGTTAACCTACAGGCGTCAATTTGATTTCTAAAATTGGCACTTTTTTAAATCTTCAATTCAAATTAAAATGTCTATAAATTTTCTGTTCTTTTTCTTTTTCCAAATTTTTAAAAATTAAAATTTTCTCGGGGTACACGCCCTATGTCTATAGTGCTGCAGCGGCAACTTCTTGTTTTATCGCTGTTCAGGTATTGTTCTGTGTAGGCTCTCTCTGTTTGTGTCGCTGCTTATCTTTAATACGTGTGCTGTCTGGTGTATTGTGTATTGTTGCACTTAAGACGGAGTTTGTCTCATATATATTCGTGTTGAGTGTCTAGCACAGTCTGACGCTATGGTGTAAGTTCTTTTTCTGTAATAAGGTCGGCAGTTAACAGTCGGTCCAAAGTGCCCTCGTTTGTAGGCAACCCGAACGACCGTCATTGAATTGTCTTGTGATACAGTACAATCAAGTCTCTACTTTCACATCATGCTCCTCTAATATCCATTCTAATGTTATCATCCTATCTAGGCTTCCCACATTACCTCTTCATACCTTCAAAAGTAGTGACCAAAATTAAATTGCATCATGAGAGCGCATTGCTTCAGAGGAAGAAAATCAGAGTGTGAGCTTTCTATTTGTATAGTAGCTGAATGGGGACAGCTTTACTTTTACTTCTTTTACTGTCTATATAGAACCAAATGTAAGATATTATCTATTTTTTATTGCTAGTTGGGTGGGACTAAGTCCCTTGTATTGCGGCCACTTGTGGCCTATTGTACCAGCCCAAAATGATAGGTGATTCACATCATCGGCATAGGCCAACAGCTGATATGCCCCGTTTAATTTCAGTCACACCTGGTTTCCCTGGACCTTCTTGTGGCATATTCTAAAGCAAAGTTGAAAAGTAGTGGCAATAAAGCATCTCCTTGTTTTAGACCATTCTGGACAAGAAATTTATCAGACAACTGTTTACCTATACGGACTTTATTATGCGTTTCGCTTAAACACATTTTAATCAACCTAACTAGTTTCATGGGTATCCCAAACTCTATCAGAATATTGTACAATACTTCCCTCCTAACTGAATCATAGGCTTTCTTGAAGTCTATGAATAGCTGATGTGCTGTCTCATCGTACTCCCATTTTTTCTCCAATATCTGACAAATGCAAAAGGTGTGATCTGTAGTTGATCTGTTGCGTCGAAACCCACACTGATGATCCCCAATAATTTCATCTATATATGGACTTAACCTTGAGAAAAGAATAGTGGATAAAATTCTTTATGAAGTTGATAGCAGTGATATCCCCCGATAATTACTGCAGTCAGTTTTATCACCCTTCTTGTGCACTGGTACAGTAACAGACTCCTTCCACTGATCAGGCAATTTTTCCTTATGCCAAGTAGAAATAATTAGATTGTGGATCTTAGAATGTAATATTTCACCTCCTGCTTGAATAAGTTCTGCCGGAATTTGATCACTACCTGGCGATTTATACCGTTTCAATTTTGCAATAATAGTTTCAACCTCAAAAGAGCTTTACAGGTCTCTAATGATCTTGCTCTTAATGTTAATTGCAAGCTCATCAATTTTGTCTTTCAGATATTCCCTCTTATTGTTCCTGTATAATATATTATAAATGGTTAAACGCCATTTTCCTCTTTGTAGAAATAAAGTGAGTGCCTCCTTGGATTAAGAGGGCATTCAAATCCTACTAGTCATCTGCACCTTATAAGGTTCATGTGCTGGTCCAGACAGAAAAACTTTTATACTCTAAATTCTTCACCTGGGATTTATACAAGTTTAAAAATGCACTGTTTCTATCATTTACTGGATCTGACTACATTCTAAATATTTTCCTTTTAGGCTCTTTGATAATAATGACAACACAGATTCATGTGATACTGAATCACTTCAAGATTATCATTAAATTCAGTTCCATAATTTCTCATTAATTTTCTTTCTCGTATGGTAGCTGTTTAGTACCAACATTACAATTATTACTTTCAACACTATATTAAAAAAATGATGTAGCCAATTTCAGTTACAAATAATATTTTGATGTGTATGTTCCGAAAAAGTAAAGAATTTTGAACTACTAATTAAATATAATTTATATATGTTTAATTTATAAAAATTTATTAAGTAGATACACTCTAACTGAGTGCCATATAAATGACAATCAAGAATTGTGTATCAAGATGAGAATGAAAGAAAGTAGTACCTTACATCTAACTGCATCTAAATTCTTCTTTACTCTTTATGAAAATAGCTGATGACATCATATTGTAATCATTAGCCTAATAAGTAATAATTAATAGGAAAATAAAAAAATCGATTTGCTTTATACCACAGTGTACTTGCTATTCTATTCAAGCGGTGGAGATTGCACTCTCAGCTGGCAACCAGCTGTTCAGGCTGACATTTCTCATGATTTTCCTCTATTCATGTAAGCAGATGACATGACATTATCTTAACTTGGCCACAACAAACCGCTGTTACACCTTTTGAGTTTATTCATATATAGTATCTTACAACCACGTTCCATTCCACCTGTGACAGTAATGAGTAGTTTAACAAGCAAAAATCAATATAAGATTTCCAAGAAATGTTTAATATACTTTCTTTTTTCAGTTAGGCAATTAAAAATTGGAATGCTCATTTTATTAAGTAATGCATTTAATTCAGTCAAACATGGCAAACTAGTATACAAAAAACTATGACTTTAATAATAAAAAAGGTAAAGTTATTCCTGTGTTTAACAAATTAAGTACTACGTCATGAAGGCTTATGGGGGAGTAGATGTATAAATCCACAATTTCTTGATCTAAGCACTTGTTGGTGATGAGTGGTCAGCTTCACGCCCCGGCCGCTTTACCCAAGGGTAAATAGCCCCCGATACCCATTGGATGGGAGGCTGGGTGCGCCCCAGGGCCGGTCTGGGTGACAAGATGTTATGTATAAGCCAAATACAGAAATGTCAACCTACTATTTCTTGACAACTCCCACATTTCTGGACTGCCTCCAACCATCGTAAATTTGTTTTAAATGTCATTCTTCACGGCGACTAGGACCACGACTCATTTCTTCTGTCGATTTACAAAGCAGTTATTTATGATGCACTTGATGCTAGGCAATTTAACGACGTTTTTATTTGCAGTTGTTATGCAACGTTGAATACAACGAAAAGATATTCTTTAATGGAAGACAGTGGAGAATTTTGAGCAGGAGGGGGAAGCGATCGTGACCAAGGTGTTTCCAGAACTCTACTGAAGATTGAGGAGGACCACGACAAATCTCAGTCACATATTTGGAAGTGTTTTTTAATGTTATAAAATAATATTTATGTATCATTTGCCCGAAATGCATGAATCTAACACATAACGGATCAATCCTTCCTGTCCGAACGTTTTATCTCCAAAACTATAAAACAGATTAAATTTCATATTGGAGACTCTACAAAAAATTTCTGACGAATTTTAAGTCGATTCTTATCGATCTAGTATTACAAATATTTTATATGAAGTTAAAATCGAAATCTGAAAAATATTTTTAAAAAATGTTCATCGTAAAAAATATTCGGCACACTATGATCTCCAACTTCTATTTGAAGCTTCTTTCAATATGGACAATATTTAAGGAAATACACATACAGTGAAAATTAATTGTTTCTGTGCAGTGAGATTAAATAACAGTGGTTACAATTTGTAATACTAAAAATTAAGGCTAATAACATACGCGAAATCGCAGAGAACTCATTTGGAAAATATTATGCTCAATTGGAGTACACACTTCCACTCCGATTATAATTGGCGATTTTACAGTAGGAATTATTAATGTAGGATCGCCGATTTATTTGAAGTATTTTCTCTAATGGTAGATTCTGAGCTCTGGACACACTTAATACTATCTGCCAGTAGTTTTCAATATATGTGCATTCTATTGTGTACNCCCTTTGATATTCTACCAGTCGCCATACCCTGCTGGTACTGGTGCTCGCTATCAGCCCCGTTCAGCCAGCGAGGCTGGTAGTGGTACCCGATAACTTACCCATCTACCGGAGGCATTGGAAACTACTTGGGCGGGAAACATGTACTAAGCTAAATCTAGGGGTCAGAGTTCTTATCAAAAGCTAATAATCACGCATCTAGTAAAGAAATATCTCGCATCTTATGGAACTCAAGTTTCATTAGAGTAAGGTGCGCCATAGCTCAAGCGGTTAGTCGCTGGCTTCCCACCGCGGCGGCCCGCTTTCGATCCCGGGTCTGGACAAGTGGGATTTGTAGTGGACAAAGTGGCGCTGGGACGGGTTTTCTCCGAGTACTTCGATTTCCCCTGCCAATCTTCATTCCACCACATTCTCCATCATCATAATCACCGGGACAGGTACAATAAGCTAATAAGTGGCTTCCGTGCCGGGTGAACCCAGCTGGACTCCACCCCCAGTAAGCGAATTAATTCATTCATTACGGTATTTACAAAACCCAGCCAAGTCCTAGGCCTTCAGTAACATTTCAGAACATGTTGTTTCTTTTTGACTGAGAGGAATTGTTAATCCCCTGTTCAATTCCAATCTTTGTTGAATGTCCACATTTGTTTA